GAGAAGGCATAAAGAGACATTTTTATGGTGATTCGTATCAGCCATGCTGATGGGAAGCAGAAAGAGAGGAGTTTTGTTTTGGAGCCGTTAAAATTAACAAGCCATTTCTTGTCCTAGTTAACAACAGACTGTAGATCATTTTTGAGATCAGCTGCCAATTTGACCTTATCGATCCGACCTGGTAGATATCAAGTTGGGAACTGATGTCACCAAGAAGGTCACTGATAAAAATTAAGAACAAAATAGATCGAAGCATAGATCCGTGGGTGAGGGGGGGGTACCTGCATTAGTACAAAAAGATCTAGAAGAATGGAAAACTTTCATTTCGTGATTTGATCAGAAATACTGAATCAGTTCAAAAATAACTATCATATCATATTCACTTCAACTTGTAAAGACCGGTATGCCAGATCCTGTCAACCGCTTTCGAGATTCAACATTCTCATCTTACGTTTGATAGACTCTTTCAATAATAATCGTTAATATATCAGCAGTTGACCTAGAGAAGCGAAAGCCATACTGCTTGTTTGAAAGAAGGCCCTGAGTTGTGAGATGCTTAATCTGTTCAGAATTATTTGAAATTAATATTCTAATATTCTACCTACGTATATAAAGAAGCATTTTGAAATACGTAAATATTTCATTGTCGTAACCTAGAAAGGGTTACTGAATGAGGAATAACCAAAGTGGCGGTTGGAAATGAAATGGTAATCTTTATAACGTCAACAAAATACAATACTCGCCAGCGGCGTGAATTAGGTAAACCACTGCTACTAGTGGGTTAATTAGACAGCAGATTATCCGCCCCCTTACAATAGTGTCTAACGTATTTACGAGGATTGGGACATACCTATTAGTGTTAATAGGTACGGTATATAACAGTTATAAAATCCAATCATTAGTGAAACGGAATCACGTGTTGAAAATACCACCTACTGAAAAATGCTAACGCTACAAACTTTTGTTCCTACTCAACATTTATAATGTGTACATAAATAGACATAAATAGACATAAATAGACACACAGTGACATTCATTCTCATAGATGAGCAAATGCAACTGTAGAAAAAGTTAAGGTCAAAAGGTTTAACAGACTTCGTTAGAGTTGTACGTGTTACAAATTCTCTTTTCGACTGAAATGGATAAAAAGAATCATTTCAAACAAACGAGAAACATCGTGAAAAATACGCCAATTAAAACTCCCACGCAAAAATTGGACAACAAACATCTTGACCCTTCCCCAACACACGGTTGCCACGTGGCTCTCGTCAACTTCAGATCAGAGGAACTAATTACCTAACTTATTTGCGTGTGAGCGAGTGAAGCGAGAAAGAAATGCCAGGTTTTTCAATTATGACAAATATTTTAAGCGTAAGACTGACTTCTCAAGGAGTCAATTCTTTTTTCAACGGCCTTCTGAAAGGACAGTGATATTTTTTTTTAAATTTTTATTGAGTTAAATGGACCTCACGTATCCAGGAAGTGAAGCTTATTACTTACGAAACTCTGGAGAATTCATTAATCATATATACGATTTACATATATATATATATATAGTGGGTTCAAAATGTTCGGTGAATCTAAAGCAAGAAATGGCTTCCAGAAAGTAGGAAAGTAAATGAGCTTTTTTATTTCCTGTGGGAATGAATTCAAGATATGTGTGGAATGTTCGGGAGGGCACGGGAAATGATGGGTAACATAAAAGATAAACACATCAATCAAACTATTCAAATTCAACGAATTGAACACCGCCACCCATATATATATATGTGTTTTTGTGCGTGTACTTGTATATATATATATATATATATATATATATATATATATATATATATATATATATATAGAGAGAGAGAGAGAGAGAGAGAGAGAGAGATAGATAGATAGATAGATAGATAGATAGATAGATGTGTAGATGTGATGATGTGTGTGTGTGTGTGTGTGTGTGTGTGTGTGTGTGTGTGTGTGTGTGTGTGCAGCTAAGCTCCAGCATATCACGTATACAGGGTCCTCATTTACTTCGGGTTTCATTGGTAAGGAAGTTCTATTCGGTGATAATATCTTCACAAGAACTGTTACTTCGTAGAACAGACTCCCGATAGTATTCTTACCCGATCACTACAATTTTAACCTCTTCAAGCATAGTTTCAATCGTGAACTCCATACAACAGACTCATTCAGTTACCCTCTACCTTGAGTATCTCTTCGGGCTTATATTGGATAGACAAAAATAACACACACACATATAAACTATAATTTATTTCAACGGGTATCAACAAAAACTTAACGCATCATCGAAAGTTGAGCTACCTCAGGAAGGATTATCCTTTCCACTTACGGATTTGATATTATTATCTATATATATATATATATATATATATATATATATATATATATATATATATATATATATATATATATATATATATATATATATATATATATATATATATATATATATATATATATATATATATATATATATATATATATATATATATATATATATATATATATATATTATTTATATATATATAACGTTTTTTACAATGTTTGTTAGCACGTACGATACCCTGTCTTCATCAGCCGCCGACCAGAGGTGATATCACGGTTCCGGTGGCTATGGCTGGACCAGCAGCGTTTGCCACCGGGCAGGGTATGAAGATAAGCTAATTGATCGTTCCTCTTTGTAAATTGTCGTAATGAAATAAATAAAACGATTGTTCCTCTCTGCAGATTCTATCCATAATGGAAGTTCCCTGAACGCGTTTGCCGTTATTGACGCGCTCGTGAAAATCGTTACAGATGACCGCGCAAATATTTTACTTGTGCATGTTAGGTCATGATGTTGCGCGTTATATATATATATATATATATATATATATATATATATATATATATATATATATATATATATATATTATTATTTATTCGAATATCTTTGTCGCCATATTTATCGCCATATATATTTATTCAATACCCGGTTAAGGCAGTGGAGAACTTTCAAAGGGAAATTAACAGGAGATAACTGATTGAACTCACACACTTTGGGTTCTGTCACTGGATCTAACCAACGCCTTTATCCACTGTTCCATGTTCAAGGACACATGGCACAGTGGATAAAGTTCAATACCCAGTTAAGGCAGTGGAGAATTTTCAGAGGGAATTTAACAGGAAATAACAGAGAACCGACATCCATTAGACATGGCACGTGAAACTAGAACTGTCTACCCCAGTGAGTGAAATAAAGGGTTCAGTTCGACATACCAACCAACTGAAGAAGGGCGGAGCTTACAACGGCCGAAAAAACGTTGTGATAAATATGGCGACAAAGATGAGAACAATAGTCCGAATAATGTAAATAATGTACATAATGCCTCGTCTCCGAAATAAAGACATATATATATATATATATATATATATATATATATATATATATATATATATATATATATATATATAATTATCTAATTGAAATATAATTACAGTCAAACACGTTATCGCTAACTTTGAATATAGTCTTCGTACTTAATGTCCTGATCATAGAGTCACACGTAATGTCATGTTTTTTTAGACCTTATTAAATATGTTATAAGCATACAAGTAACTAAAAGTTTCAAGGTAATCTAGTATGCTATATAATCGGTCTACGTTTTGAAAGAAGCGATCGTTAGACACTTAAAATAAAATCAGTTCTATTTTCCGCCCGTATCTGTACCTGTGAGCGGCGACGACAATTGCCATCCCTCCTCCTCCAATGACGAGTAGACAGAAACTGCTGCTGACCACGGTAAGCAAACACGCGCGTGAATATTCTTCTGATTAGAATGAAATTAATTTTCCACGTATAGTTTTTATTATATTTTTTTTTCAGTCAGGAACGAATTGACTCAACAAAAACTTGTTCACGTGCCTACATTTCTTAACGCGCTCCGATGTTTTATTGAGAAGGTGTTCATGATCAGGGAATGTTATAATTCAGAGTTTTCTAATGTACAAATAAGGAAAAAAAGAAGTTTGTGGAGAGTCATGACCGCCTATATCCCGAAGTGACATGTCATTAAAAAAAGCTCATGGCACCTCGAGGTGGTGTAATGTTTAGCAAGCTTGTCTCGCTGAAACAATTACGACTGAGAAGTGAGTTCGATCCTCACTGGGTGCCTCTTACTTTCGGCCTTGTGCCATATCCAGGCTATGCTTGGAAAATCACTAGATCCCGAACCCGCTTATGCGTGTTCTAAGGGAATATTTTTGGCCGAACTTACGGGATCGGAGAAACCCACGTTAAACTCGGCCTTGTGCCACATACATTCCTCGTGGGGGGGGACTGTTAAATATTAAAAAAAAAGCTCATGTTTTCTCATGATAGCGAACATACAAAAATAGAAAGGGACGTAAGGCAAGGTGCGACGCTGAGTTCCGAAGACGTATTGGGATGGCCAAAGACGCATTCCAAAAGCTGGACAGAGTACTGCGAGACAGGAGGATTTCTTTGGTGACAAAGAAAAGGGTACTGAGCTACGTGATATCTGTCCTCCTTTACGGCAGCGTATATTGGACGACTTCCTCAAAGATGAAAACTTGAGGCAGTGATGATGTGGTTCTAAAGAAGGATATCATGGAGAGAGCGTGTGAGCAACGATGAGGTCTTGGAGAGGATGCAAACAAGGAGGAAGCTTATATTTAACGTAAGGAAGAGGCAGATGAAATTTCTGGGACACATAATGCTCACAGGTCGAATAGAGGGAAAAAGAGACAAGGGAAAGCATACCTGGCGGGCTTAAGCAAGTGGATTGCAGAATATGGTCTGGGGATATGGCAGAGGCGCGAAACTTACTGAGAGCTACAAGGGATTAACGGGCTGGGGGTGGGTGGTTTGGAGAGACATGATCGCCCACGTCCTGAAAGATCACGGCACATAAAAAGAAAAGAATATGTCTGCTTTCCTTTCTTGGCAGCGTTTAATGGACATGAACAATCTTTGATAAATAAATAGGAACATAAAGAATTGGTGGAAAAACAAACAAGAAAGAAAGAAAGAAAGAAAGAAAGAAAGAGAGAGAGAGAGAGAGAGAGAGAGAGAAAGAAAGTGTACTCGTGTACTTATACATGAAAATATAGGATAGAAAGAACAGTTTTAAATTGTTATAGATGCTGTGTGGTATGTCTATGTCAGACATAGTAACAACAAATATTCTCAAAGAAATAAATTGAAAGCGATTGAAAATGTGACTACAGGTTTAACAACATTTTTGCGTCAGTATAAAATGAATCAGCTAAGAAATAATACCGCAATAAGAAGCCAGAAAAATAGATGAAAGAAAATTGGCCCCAAAAATATGCGTAATGGTAAAATTGTTTTCTCTCTGAATCTCAAAAGCAAGACTAGCAGTATTTTTTTATTACTGATAGTCAACAATAAATTCAAAAGAAAAAAAAAACGCTGGAAACAAACAAAGAAGCGGGAACAATAACACTTGATGTCCTGTTAGTCACAACTCAGAACTTTACTTAAGCCAACAAACTATCTGGTGCAGGTTCTTGTTCCCCACCCCCGAATCTATGATTCCCCAAAACTATGATGCCCCCCACGAAACTATGACCCCCATAAACTATGATACTTCCCAAAACTATAATATCCACCCCTAAAACTATGATATCCCCGAATCTATGATATAGGCCCCAACCACTCTACTGCATCTCAATTTTCATAAGGTAGTTTTCATATAAAATACAAATTTTATTGTAACCTAATTATGTACAATGATGGATCATAAGCAATACAAGTGAACAATTCAACTAAAAAATTGAAAATAAATACAATGTATCTAAATACAAATTAGAGACACGTCATAGATCATTCCATCTTAAATAAATCAACAATGTTTTGCGGCAATTTTTAGCACCAATTTGATATTTTTATCAATTTGATATTTTTCTTGTTAAAAAGTTGAATAACTTTAACCCATTAAACATTATGAATAAAAAATAGTTAATTTTCTATAGAGTTTTTTTTTTTTTTTTAGACTTAGCATGAGCAAAGCAAATTCACGGATTTGGCCGGGAAAAAAACGACCCCAGAATGACGTCAAAATCCGCAAAAATGTTTCAGTCAGTTGTGCTTAGTTTAATTTTTAACGTATATCAATGTAGGTAGAAAAAAACAAGCAAATGTTGATACGATAGCGAAGGTCACAAAGCAGTGTCCGGGAGCCCCTAATCAGGTTTGCCTCTCCGGTCGATAGGTTTGGAGGTAGTACGCACCGGCCTTGTTTTCAATCAATAGCCCCTTCAATTTTCTTCAGATGTATGGTGCCATCTGTTGTTTCATCTTTATTGGTATGTTGTATCCGATAGTTCTTAGAAGTTGTTTACTTAACTTCTTTGTCTTATTTTTAACTTCCTCGGTTAGAACCCTTTCGATCGATATGTAAATCAACCGCCTTCATGTATAGTGATTTTCCAAGCGTAGTTTAGATATGGCACAAGGCCGAAAGTATGGGGCACCCAGTGACGATCGAACTCACTACTCAGTCGCAATTGTTCTAGCGAGACAAGCTTGCTAACCATTACATCGTCTCAGGGTGCCTAAATCTCCTTCATGTATATGGGGCATCCGGTGGTATTTAGAAATTTATTTGTTTTGGGGTTTTTTTTTCCATTGAGTAACAAAGTTCGTCTCGGAACAGTGCCAAAACTGCTTAACTGTCGAACTCTCTGCCTTGAGCAGAGAGGAAACCGGACGATGTTTTGCCGAAGGACAAAGTTTCGTCCGGGGAGGTAGACAGGACCTGAACCCGTTTATATGGGTTCTAAGAGAATATTTTTGGCCGAGCCTTCGAGCTCGGAGAACCCACGGTAAACTCGGCCTTGTGCCATATTCATCCATCGTGGGGGGGGGGTAAATATTAACAAAGTTCGACTCGTTGACTATTCAGTTCTGTAAAATGAATGTTATTAAAATAGTTTCAATTCTGATTTGTAATTTATTTCTTCACATATGACCAGAATAAAAATGTGTTTGGAAACTTTTCCTCGCATTATATTTGCCCTAATAAAGAACTGTTCTTTTTAGGTTTTGTCTTTTAATGAATATATGATTTCTATTCTTCTGCAATGTAATCTCAGCCAAATTTCTACACTGGACCACTTAAAAAACAATAATCATTTATTTTCGCTGAAATACGATGTAAAATCATTTACTCTGTTTCTTATACCAAGAAAAATTGTCCCTGGATATATGTAGTTTTCTTTTATGAGTTTTGATGTATCTATGGTATTTTTTAAGGCAATTCACTCCAACAAAGGCGGGAGTGTCACTAGCACGCAAGGGGTTACAGAGGATTGAAAACAAGAGCAAAGAGGCCCGCTTGAGGAAAAGACACTGAGGAGGACGGGGAACAACCTCATTGTGTCAGATGTCGATTGACATTATACTTGAATATTTGAAGATTATAGTCATCGGAGAAGAAAGTAAGGAAAAGGGAGTTCCACAGACGGGAAGTGCGGGAGAAGAAACTGTTTGAGTTGAAGAGACGGTTACATTTAACCGTTTTGACAGTGAAAGGGTGAGGCCGAGATGCCAGCCTGGTAGCACGTTTAAATTCATGAAGTCCGGGAACCAGCGATAGTAGCTCGTCGGAACAGTTGCCATGAAAATATTTGTAGAAGAGACAGAGGGAAGCCACGGCACGTCTGTGGGATAGCGATTGAAGACTAGATGCCAGATCAGGTCCTATCATCTTGCATATTTGTCTCTGGATTTTGTCAAGGACCTCAGGACATACAGCGGGGGCACCAGACCATATATGACAGCAATATTCCATGCAAGGAAGGTTGGTTGATTTATAGATTTGAAAGATAAACTCAGTAGAGAAAAACTTTCTGGTATGACACAGAGAGCAACCCCGAGTTCTCTCACTAAAAATATTAAATGCATCTTAAGAGAATGACACAAACTTATTGTTTGAACATTTTCGACCCAATTCTTTATCTTTATTTGCAGCATTTACTTCTTCTATAAATGAATGTCTATATAATCCTCCTTAACAGATGAAGTAAAGATTCGTAGATTAGATCCATCTATTGGAACTGCTAGGAAAACTCGATTTATTTGGGAAAGATATTAGAATAATCCATGACATATACTAGGAGAAAGCTTCCTGCATACAGATAGAAAATGAATTAAGTACACTAAAATAAAAAAAGGACATAAGACAAGGACGTGACTTCTCACCGGACTTATTCAACATCTACAGCGATTCTTAAGAGAACTCGATATTTTACCGGAATTTATTATCGACGAGGACAATCTTAACAGCATAGGATATGCAAATAACACTGTGTTGATAGCAGACAAAGTAATAAAAGAAAGCGGGAAGAAAGGACTATCAGTTGTAAGATAGAAAGAATGTCTGTAAGCAAGAGAACCTGCCGAAAATGTAAGCTACGAATTGGAGATAACAAAATCAAACAAGATCAGAAATGAAATGTTCCAGATTATGAAAAATTTGACATTGCCATCAAAATAGCAAAAGATGCCTATCAAAAACTAAACAATATATTAAGAAACATAAAAATTTCGTTAGAAACAAAAGAGTGATGTATTGCTGTTTAATATAAATCCTCGTATATGGCAGTGAATGATCAATAATTTCCCCATAAAGAGATGTGGTTTTCCATTTAGTGAAATACATCTGTTTGATGCTTTGGCATGCATCATCCGTGATGTTTTTTGCCGAGGTTCATTGGAGGTTTCGGACCTTTCAACATCATAACTCCTCTCCACGATGACTCAGTCAATACTGATCGGGTATCGACTTGTGTGCCATCTGTCAGCTACAACTTTCCTCAATTTTACTTGCACACTGCGACTCCTCTCGGCAATCCAATCACCAGCAATCCAGATGAATGCTGAAAATCATTTGGACTGAGCATGTAAGCAACGATAAAGATTTAAGAAAAATAGAAAAAAAACGCTTATTTAAAATCTCAAAGAGACAATTGAAATTTCGGAGGGGGGGGGCACATAATGAGAGAAGAAGGCCTTGAAAATCTGACACTCACAGGACATAATGAAAGCAAGAGAGGCAGTAGGAAACAGCGAGTAACTTACCTAGCGGACTTATGTAAATGAATGGCAAAATAGACAGTGGGAAGAATAGTAAAAAAAAAAGATTTTGCTTAGTGCTACAAAGGATAGGAAATTCGGGATGACCATAATTGCAAATTGCAAATTGCCCACGTTGCCCACATTGTGAAAGGAAACGGTACATAGAAGAGATGAGATCCATTTGGTATTGGAATTATTTTGATGGAATATGAAGATGAACGATTTCTTTAATTCTTTCTCTTGTATCCATGGATTTTATAAAAACAAAAATGACAACGATAACTATGATTCTTTCGTTACTTCCATATCACTGGAATTGCAAAAGCAAGGGCCTTCGTTTTGACGTCATCTCCGCCAACTTTGTTTATATTCCTCAACATAAACAGAACTGACAATATTAGAAGTCCACTTTTTATCCCGGTCTCCAGATTTTAGACCTAAGTATGCTTAACATGATTTTTTTTCAGTAAAACCTTATGCTTAGTTTGTTCCCTACAAATTTTGCACAAATATAGCAAAATTGATAAGGACTGTACAATCAAACTTTAGTCGCTACGATATCATTGTTATCAGGACAACGATATTCTAAATCAGTAGTTCTCGAACCTTTTACCAAGTGCACCTTTTTTACCGTATCAGAATGTCATTGCCACGCTTTTCAAGATTGTCTAACATAAAAGGTGCATTCCAAATACTATGCATATACTATTGAAAAAAATTTTCATATTAGTACATATATATTTTTTACAGGGATTATTTTTATCGAAGAGTTGTACAAATTTAATAGCAGCAGAAAATGTTCATGGATTTTAAAACGTGAATACATGTACAGTAATTTGTTTTACTTTATAACTAATTATTAAATAGATAAACTGAAGCCTACTTCAATAAACAAAAAGTTCAATGTAATGTCAGGATACTGTAATTCAATAAACAAAATTATGTATATAAAAACAAGGAAAAATAAAAGATTTTCTCTCCTTCATGAAA